TTATTTTCGTTGACTTTAAAACCACTCATGAGGCTGCTCAAGTCGCAGATATCAACGCAAGTACGGCAAGGAACATCAATGCCTACAAACTAGAAGGCGGCATTGCTCAGCGCATATGTGGAGATGACAGCATGGAGAAGCTGATTCCCGATGTCCTGCAGCGCGTCAAGAGACCGCTGAACGACATTCGCAGGATACGTTGGGCAGCAGCGGCCGAGGGACAACCGTATCCACCTGTCGGTGTCTACAGTCTTCAACGCACTCAAAAGACTGAAGATCACGCTAATGAAATGCCACTACGAGTTAGAACGTATCAACAGTGCCACTGCCATCGCAAATCGGCAGGTCTACATTCTGGACTTCTCGGTACACGCGTTGCATGACAAGAACAAATGTATCTTCATAGATGAAACTGGGTTCAATCTGCATCTGTGGCGGACGCAGGCTCGCTTACGAAGAGGGACCAGCGCGAACCTTCTCTTGCCCACAGTCAGAGGCTGCAGGGTGACGCTCATTTTGGCAATGAATAACCAAGGGATCGTCCACTACAAAATGATCAGCGATGACACTTGCTGTGGTGCTATGTTCTCTATTTTCATGGAGGAACTTGTGTCGCGGCTCTGCGTCAGAGTGGAGATGAACTATGCATGGCTCATCATGGCCAACGCGCGCATTCACATGACAGATGACCTACGGCGGGTCCTGGGCTCCCCTTATCAGAAGAAGTTCTTGTCGCCCTACTGCTACATGTTAAACCCTGTGGAGCATGTGTTTTCGAAGTTGCACGCGTCGGCGGGACACCTGTTGACGAACCCAACAGCTGAACAGTCGCTAAGTGCTGTCATACAAGAGTTGGGATGGTTACTCAGCAGGATTGTAGCAACTGCGTGTTCAATATGATACTGAACTTGACAAACGCGGCATCCGGGCAGCCGCACATCAACTGATCGCCTCTATAACTTGAACGATTTCTTTCTTGTCAATACACCTATTTCATTTTACAGCGCGCAATTTCCTATCCAAACTACCAGGATTAGCACCCACGAGTTGGTCGTTTACCAAGAAGTAGAGAGTACAGTCATGCGCATTTGCGATTGTCGTGAAAATTTTGATACTATCCGACTCGTAGTGGCACTTCTTCAGCGTTACCACAAAACGTTGAAGACCGTAGACACGGATAGGTGGATGCCGTTCTCTGTCAACCACTGCTGCAGCTGCACCAAAGTGTCTTTGGAATGTGCTGTGTTTGACACTGCAAGAACAGAGGGTAGGCTAATCCCTAGTAAAGAAGAACGAGGAAGGCGAGTGTGTGAGTTCATTCTACGAGTAAAACGTGAACCGGCGCCAGTTCAGTTACATTGTACAGGCTGCAATAGCTGACCCTTGTTCGGTCATGGGTAGTGATTTCAAATTAACACTAGTCTGTTGAACGGTGTCTTTTCAGTGTGTTCTAAGACGTGTACCAAGAAGTCGAGAGTTGAAGCCTCTTAACTCGCGACAGTCGGTGCACTGTTGACACGGTCTAGCTCGTAGTGGCACTTCTTCAGCGTAATGTTTAGCCTTCTCAGATACGGACAGGTGGATCTCGTTCTCTCTCATCCACTGCTGCAACTGCACCAAAATATCTTGAGAATACGGTTCAGCGGTCTATTCAACGCTTCGCATGACATTGGGAGTTCGCTTCTCCTGCTTGATTCTTCCACCTTTGCGCTGAGCAATGCTATTATATTGCCTGTAGGCAAGGCTGATATATAGTTATTTCTTGCACTGCTCTCGTTGATATCGGCGAATTCATCAACCTCATGGATGGTCTTGCTGTCGAAGAAAACAACCTTGGTGACGATGTCGTTCTGGGATCATAACGTTTTATTTCGTACCGTCGCCACCTCGGGGCTGCGCTCTGTCGTCTTCCGTCGCTTATCTTGGTCGTTTCATGCAGCACAGAGCATTTGTTGCAGTAGTCGTGCAGCTGCGTAGGTTCGCCCTCACACCCACACGAAATACAAGGAGACCACTACAGGGACAGGGAAAAACTTTGCTCGAGGTGACACTTCTGATCAACAGACGGGCGTGCGTAATCGCCTGCTGCTTGCACAGTTCGGTTGCATTATCGTGGCCGAAATGTGCTCTGAACATCACCCAATCCTCTTACTCCTCATTTCATGCTAAAAATTTCATGATTTTCTGAAAAACTCACTTTTTGGGATACGCCCTATTTGCTTTGCAAAACGTCCGATTTGTTTTGCAAAACGTGCAGTCTGGTTTGCAAAGCGTCCGATTTAAAGTAAAAATGGTGTATTTTCCGAACTCTTTGCAAACTACTTTACGATATTCTGAAAGATCGCTGAAGATACGCCAAAGCTGCGACAACGGAAACGTTACCGATACGAACCGAAAGCTTATCCCTGGTGGTTCCCTGGATGACTCACGAATCGGTACCCCTTAAGTCTGGTTTCAGGGAAACTTCAGAAAAATGTAAGCGGGAGATAGTGAATTTCGGTTCCCCTATAATGTAGTCACGTTGACACAATCTTGCGTTCAGTGTGACAAGGTAATCACCTCAAACTCTGAGTGTCTGACCGTATGGCTTCATAGGCTTGCCAATGTGTGTTGCGCGTCATAATCTCTGAACTGATGCTAATACTCCTTTTTACAATGAACTTTCCGTATTGGTTCGCTTAGTTCACATAGCTGAATTTGGCGTGTAGGAAAGATAGATTCTCCAATGACTTCTATATTTTCAGGCGGAAATTTCATACCACCAGACGCTATGAAGCAATAGTGGATCAACTAGCAAAATTGATTCTCGGTATCAGTGTTTGTTGGAACGGCATGTTGTAATTTTGTCTAACACCGGTTAGCTGCAACGATCTAACACTTGAAGTCGATAACGAAACATACTTCAGGTTGTGATAGAGGCGATGTAAAGCTGAATTCGGCTGTGTGATTCGGTGATCAGTGACCCGACACTGCTGCTATCAGCAATGAGCTCACGTAGCTTGCCGCTTCCAAAGCGCAGACTATTGTACAAATGATCACTGCCGTCGACAGTCGACGTTAGTGAATTTTCTTCCTCAAATAGCTGAATTATGCGATCCTCAGCACAACACAATTTCGCACGGTTTTGCAACGTGGCATGCATCTTGAGCTTGTCGCATCTTGTCACACTGGTCCAATATAACGTGTATGTAATTCACCAAACGAGACACACTGATCAAACTGTTCGAAGGATTTCACTTGTTGAGGAGATGGACTCTATCTGAATTTACAAACCTGCATCGCCACCGTTTTCGCTGTTTAGCGAAAACGTTGCTTTTGGCGGAACCAAACAACATTTGCTAATCAGGTGGCATCTCACATTTTGTAAGCATCGGTGCTTTTCACAGTGCAGCTTAATTTTCTTCTATGTCGTATCAGGGCGTGAAATCAACTGACGACACGATGTTAGAATAGGTATTTCGGCAATCCGGCGATCTCTAAGCTGCTCATCCATTTCGTCTCCTAAAGAACACCGCGAAGCTGGAGTATGCGGTTGCAAAGGGAAATCGCACACCGTGTGCTTTGTTTCACGCCGCAGGATATTGCGTTACGTAACAAATTGTCTAGCAGCCCTTTATGCAAGTTTCTACGACAACTTTTTTCCACCATGAACATGCATTCGGGTCAATAGTAGTAAGGAAATGTGCGCTCTTCCAGCCTTCTTGTTATATGTTATTCAACACCTGACCAACATACATTTGGCAGTCACGGCACATAGTTAGCACCACCAACACCAACAACAACAACAAAAACAAAAGAGGGAAACAAGTAAAGTGGAAAGATTTGGAAGGTTTACAAGGTTACTGTGTTGTGCGGGCAGAGATCTTTCCGGTTGCCCAGGCCGCAGGAGATGGTTGACTTAAGGGACCCCACCTGACCCGCAAGGCAGCAGGACAATTAACGGAGACAGTTGACATCCGGGTAGCTCATTCGCCTTCTTTGTATTCAGTAGCAGTCCACAGAGAAGCCGGTGGCCAACAAGGTTGTTCATCCGCCCTCCGTTAGGTACTCACCTCTGGTTACAGAAGTAAGTGGTCAGTTATCCTATAGCTGGTCACATTGGCTTTGACACAGCGCCATACGAGCTCTTATGCTATTTGATGGAGAACCAGGTGACCAGCCCAGAACTCCCCACACTCTGCGACGCTGTCTCTGATTGTCTCGACTGCTTATTCATCTCGCCTGCGTGGCAAATGAGACTTATTCGCAGGTACCTTCAAAAGGAAGGCATTCCCCGATCCGCAACTTGGGGACGCGCCCGATAGCGTACAGCTCTGCAACGGGAGCGTTATTGTTAATAGCTTCGAGCCACCCCACATATTCCCCCAACTCTTTGAGGGGACGAATTAATGTCCAGAGTTTCAGTATTCATATTAATGAATGGAAGTTTTGTGAAATTTAGATTAACACAAAGTCCCGGCCAAACCTAGATTCGAAATGGACGAAGCACAACCTAGTCGTATTTTGAATCTCGTGTTCCTTATTATTCATTGTTGTTTGTCGAACCCCACGACTGCTTCCATCCACTAACGCGAGTGAGAACACGAACGAACAAAATCAGGATTCAGCGTTCTTTTTATAGGGAAACGCTTAGCTGTAAAAACCAACCAGTGCACTACAGGCGTTCAACCAGAAAAAGTTACAAAGAACCGGATAAGTAGGAAACGAAACAAATGCTCGTAAAGAAAGGGAAGTGCTAGCGTTAGTGCCTGAGTGGAATCGGGATCCACACCCGTAAACAACGACCGGGAACTGCCATTCGGACTAATGAAATGACATATTAAATCAAACACCAATGAGCGAGAACGACGAGACCATGTCTACAGTTATGAACTCTTACGTGCCGTATCTGAATTAGTATCTTTTCTCTAACAAGTGTCATGGATAATATATCATAAGAACTGTCAATTAGAGCAATATTTGCAATGGTTACAGTGTGTCCTCATATTTCATTTGTTCAGAATTTTCCACGTTTTCATCAACCGGTTTACTATCACCGATGACAAACGAGAACAACGCGAGTTACAAGTAAGTTCAACCTCGCGCTTTTTTTTACCTTTGTGGTTGTACGCGTTGTCCGATATGATGCAGTTGCGTACTCAATAGCGTTCTCGCATTCGGGAGTCTGAATGTATCTACCAAGTCTCCAATTCGATTAATTCTACGCAGTTTTTCCACAGCTTACCTTTCCGTGCGTGCTACTCCGCGTTTCATTTTTTTAACACTTTTCTTCACAGCGATGCTCTTCGGTTACCAGATTCTGGTCGTTTACCTGAACTAGCTGTGTTTAGGCTACATTTAAATACTCACCCTTCCAGCATTCACCATTCCTAAACTAAGTAAGACATCAGAAGCTCAAACGTTTATTGTTCCTCACGACTGTTGTCAGTGTTCTGATTCATTATATGAAGTGATTTAACTGAACAAACAAATAGCCATCCGTATTTCTTCACAAACGGGGCACATTTAATTAAGGGGTTTCAAAGCAATGGTTTCCTGGTGGCCAGCTTTACGCCTCGCCACCTCTGACTCCATGAGTGACACCGGCCTAGTCACATAAAGAGCAAATTTCATTTGTGTCATGCTACTGAAATGACTTTATTGTCAAGCTGATCGCCGTACGCACGCAATTCGAACTCCATTTACCGGGTATTCAACTAACCAGGGGCCGTACTAGTTGTTGGATATTAGCGTTTTTTTCCATTGGCTCTCTTCAATAACTAGCTAGTATCTCACAGCTAAACTATTTGTACATTCACGGTTTTACGTCACATTTCCTACAAATTTTTCAATGTAAGAGCAGTTTGACTCGTGGTCTCACTCAAATCCGACCTGCCTAGATATGTTGCGGTGTGTATTGATCACCAACATTCGAAGCATTCCGGTAATTTTTGCTGGCTTCTCTTTGGTGACGTAACAATGGTATAAACAGCTCTTCCGGACAGCTAGGGATAATACATCCGGTACGCAGTTACATCGGTCCTCTGCTCATACACCGTATCGCCTGTTTATATTCTTTCGTAATTCCACTAAATTGCATCATGTGCCGCCTTCGATAATTATTGTATAGACAGTATCGTGTCATCTTTTCGGACAAACAAATGCACGAATAATGAGTTTCTTGGTATTACAAACAGAAACTACTGATATCTCATGCTACCGCATGTGTATGTGTAGCTACGGAATTACGAGGGGCGGATCAGTTGTTTTTTGCTCCAGTAATGCGCAATACCTACTCCAATCGAATCGGACCGACATACATTTATATCCAGTCAGTACTCAGTGCATGTTAACAACGGAAAATCGCAGCCAGTGCCAGAAACAACAGAAAGCATGCAAGCTGGCTGAGGTTTTTCACTGCTGCTTGCTACCAACACTGCACTCCACGACGGATTTCGTAATTGCTTGCACTCGTCAGGTGGAGATAGCCGGAGCATGGAGGGGAAAATCCGCAACTTGTTGCTTAGCGACAGACATCTTGATCACTTGGCCGCTGAGATCTGCCAGTGGAAAGCTTCTTACAGAGAGTGGGCATTCAGTTTTGGTCTTAGTGATCGAAATCACCAAGGTCTACTTCAAGTTAAGCCACTGCCCCACTAGAAATTGCTTGTCACAATCCAACCGCACGGTTGGACCGTAGTCCGCTCCATACTGAGTGCATGAAACCGCTCTTCGAGCCTAGCGCGACCACAAGGATCGTGCACCCCGTCCCCTCCAGCAACGACAAACTGTCTCCTGTAACCAGTATGGACGAGGTAGAGGGAAACAGACAGGTAGGCACCTTGTCAACATGCACATCAAGCGCAGCCACATCGGGGATATCAAGCAACAGCCAATCACTTGAAATGACAATATCAAACGATTATTATGGAATAAAGCATACGGATATACAGACATAAATCTTCACTAAATCATGTGCAAGAAGTTGGTTGTCAACAATCCGCGATGAGTTCATGATATCAGAAAGATATTTTTAAACATATACCACAAATTCGAAAAAGTTAACGAATATAATCACAATCTGCTTAAGCGATGTGTATAAGTAAAAAGAAGCTTATTCAGACCGACATCTAAGTGACTTAGCAAGGTAAGCATTTACAAAATGTAGCGAACCAATCAACTAAATTAAGGATCAGCACGCAAGCACGCCTTTAGTAAATCCAATGCAGCGTACCTACCAACGCTGCGCCGGTTCTGCCTATGTTCTCAGCTGGACCCGTCGTCGTTTCGGTAGTGGTCCCGAGTTGCCTCGCTCATGGCTCACAAGGCCTGCCTGACTCAGGCACTCGCGACTGCATGTGCTACAGCACCATGCGCTCGATGTCGATTTAGTACAACCCCTCCGCGCTTCCGCACCTGCCGCTTCTTTCCCGTATGCATGGCGGCTTTCTCTTGCATCTCGGCAACTGCCTTCGTGACCAGATCGCGCCATGAACGCAGATCAACGGCCTTCAATTCCCAATATCTACATTCAAGATTAAAACGCGAGAGACTCACTTTAATCATGTCCTGGTAACGTAACTTCGGCTTTCCCACTTGCCGCTTCCCTGCACTCAGTTGGCTATACAGCAACTGTTTTCGTATCCGCGTCGAATCCATACGGCTCACATGACCGAGCCACCTCAAGTATCTCGGCAAAAGTATGCAGTCCACTGCATACATTTCACTACGACGCAACACTTTCGTGTCCGCAACTCTGTCACCCCAAGCGATGCTCCAAATCCAACGCAGACACAGTTGATGAAACCCCTCGAGATATCTCACCTCATAGATACGTCATCCACGTTTCACTGCCGTATAGAAGAACGGACAACATCATGGATTTGTACACCATCAGCTTCGTGCCAATGCTAAGCTGATGGTTGTTCCACACTCGGTACTCTAGCTTCCCGAATGCCGCCGCTGCCTTGGACACGCGGATACGAAGCTCACCGTGAAGCTGCTGATCAGTCGACATCACACTCCCAAGGTAGCAGAAGCGGGAGGTCGTTTCCAATACTTCAGCACCAATGCTGATTTGCGGCAATATTGAAGATTGCACCTCCGGTGAAGGCTGAAAGAGACATTCAGTTTTGCTTGTGTTGATGGTGAGCCCGAATTTGGCCGCTGTCGAAGCCAGAGCACCAGTCACGTGCTGCAACTCATCCGCGCTGTGTGAAAGCAACGCGCAGTCGTCAGCAAACAGCAACATACGGATAGTTGTCTCACAGACTAGAGTTCTCGCAACGAAACGACGGATGTTCAGCAACTCACCATCAATACGGTGCTCCACACGAACACCGTAAGCACAAGCGGCATCAGAAACACAAGACATCATTGCATGAAGATAGATGTTAAACAGGGCAGGAGCTAAGACATAGCCTTGCTTCACACCAGAGACAACTGCAAAGTCATCCGAGGTCTCTCCACTCAGCTGCACCCTCGCTGGCGTACTACTTTGCAGACATTCAATTAAAGTCACAAACTTACCCAACACCATCCACAATGCCTCGCGGTTCACCGTACCAAATGCCTTGGTGAAATCAACCAAAAGCGAGTACAATGGCTCGTGTCGTTCTCTGCACTTTTCCTGCAACTGACGAGCCGCAAACACCATATGTATAGTGCTGCGACCCGAACGGAATCCACACTGCTCTTCCGCCACGTTCGTTTTCACAACCTGAATGACGAGGCGGTTGAGCAGGATTCGGGCAATCATCTTGCCCACACAACTCAGCAAGTTGATGCCACGATAATTCATGCAACATTGCTTGCTCCCTTTGCCCTTGTACAGTGGTACTACTAGGGCATCTTTCAACTCAGGAGGCACCTCCTTCTCAATCCATACGCGTTGCACCAAGTGGTGCAGCGCAGCCAACAACGCAGGTCCGCCGTGTTTCAATACTTCAGGCGGGATCCCGTCGGCCCCAGCATACTTGCCGTTGCGCGGCTGAGCAAGTACCCTCTGCGTCTCATCCAGTGTCGGCGTGTCCACTAGACTCGCCTTCACATCGTGCTGCTAGAGGCCATTCAAAGTAGGCAAGTCGATCTTTGAACGGTTGTTCAAGAGACGAACAGAATATTTTCGCCAGATCTGCATTATGTCTGCAGTCTGTGTGCAGGTAGCGCCTGAACTACCATCGATCAGTGTCCTCAGCGGCTCCAATCTCGGTCCATACATCGTCTCCAAGGAGTCAAAGAATTCCTTGTGTTGGCGGCGTTCGGCGTAGCATTCCATTTGCTTCGCCTTCTCCGTCCACCATGCCTTTTTTATGCGGCGGAGCTCTCAGGTCAGTTACCGTCGAAGTTTGCGAAACTGATTCTTCTTCCCCAAGTCACTGGGGTCTGCAACATGTGCAGCAAATGCTGCATTCTTCTCCGACACCAATGCGCTGATCGTCACATTGTTGTCATCTAACCAATCAGGCCGCTTACTGTTTGCGCGTCCGATGGTCTCCTCGGCAGCAGCTGTCACCTGGTCGCGAATGTGGTGCGACAGGTCGCCCACTGTGGCTATGCAGTCTACATCACACAGACGTGCAGCCATTGCCTTCTCCAGCTCAGTACGTTTCGCCACAGTACCGAGGGATAGAATGTTAAATTTACTCCGGTTCACGGCGGGAGTGCAATACATAGATTTACCAAAATATAAATACAGTTTGGTTCGCACCAATTTGTGATCGGTGCCACACAGCTCCACGCAGTACACGTGTCATGCGCACTTCACGCATATCACCCTGACGTACGATGACATAGTTGAGCAGGTGCGCGTTTCCACACCGTGGGTGCGTCCCAGTTGCTATATCACTCGCACTCAGTGCAAACCGAGTGTTCGTGACCGTCAGGTCGTGAGTGGCACACAGTGAGAGCAGCCTGTCACCGTTCCCATTCGCTGAACCAATGCCATGCGAACCGATAATATCTGACCACACCGATGCATCACGCCCGACGCGCGCTTTGAACTCGCCCAGCAGAAATAGTCGGTCGCTCCTCAACACAGACCGTATCACGGAGGATAGCTCAGTGTAAAATTGATCACCTTTGTCATCAGGATAACACATGGTCGGACCGTAGGTGCTTATAAAGGTGAAAATCTTACCTCTTCCGAGTGGTAGGCGAACAGTCATCAGTCGCGCACTGATGCCTGTTGGTTCACCCACCAGCTGGCCGTGGAGCTGATCGGATATTGCAAATCCGATCCCATGATCACATGGTGCTGAGGCGGTGTTGCCCACCCAGTAGAATGTGTAGCCAGCACCTGCTTCATGCAACTTACCTTGCTCAGCGAGAAGAGTTTCACTGAGCGCCGCAATATCGATGTGGTAACGCTCCAGTTCCATCGCGACGAGTGCAGTGCCTTGCTCCGGGCGCTCACTGGAGTTCCGGTCCAGTAGTGTGCGCACGTTCCAGCACCCGATGCTGAGTGCTTTGCGCGCAGGCCTACGATTGCATTGGTGGGCAACCGCACGCGAGGTGGTCGTTGTGCTTTGGAGTTTTGCTTGAGGGACTCCACCCGGAGCCTTTGGCTCAATAGCCTGACCCACAAGGCAGTGGGGGGTTTGGTGGTTTGCTTGAGGGACTCCGCCCGGAGCCTTTGGCTCAATAACCTGACCCACAAGGCGGTGGGGAGCAGATTCAGTGCGAGAATGTGATTTCAGAGACAGATTGGGATCTGCTTGACGGCCGTCATACGCAGCCTTGAAGGTACTGGAACGATTTATATATATTTTGCGACCGTAGTAGGATACACCTGCAATCACGGCCATACACAGGTGCGTTTTGGCGGGTTTGCACCAATTTGACCAGGGGCTGCCTGGCTTGAGGCGGGCAGTAGCACACCATTGAACACCCGGAGGTGCCCTCCCACCGTCAGAGACAATGCGTGGCGCTCCTGCTCTAGGCCAATCGAGCTGTGAGCTTATAACCCGTCGAACTGTTATCTCCCATAGCTAAGTTTTGCGGGAAGAGGGCCATCGACCAATTCCTAACCTCCGAAGGGGATGGATTAGGATACTGCCAGCGCGCCCACACCTGACATGAGAACGACTCGGGTCCTCAGCCAAGGCCTTCGATTAAATGAACACCCGAAAGGCAGCGGGTCTAGCACATGGTCAGTTCACTGACTCATGCGGATTGGTGTCCTGGATCTTAGCAGGGAGAAGGGCGAAATCCAAATCCCACCCAGTGGTCGCCACGAGGCGTCCAGGACATGAGCCAATGGCACAACAGTAGCAGCAATGGGTAGACCATCTGTCAGGATCTAGTCACCACCAGCCTCAGCGCACCATAGGCTCTCCCGCCAGTAGTCAACATACAGTGCTATGAAAAAGTGGTCAACCTATGGTGGCGGTCAACTTAGAGGTTTTACTGTAAATACGCTCTCCCGCATGCCGCTGTGTAAGTATTTACTAAGGCTAACAAACTTACGTGGGCAACCAAACTTACCCAACAATCAAACACAGTGCCTCGCGGTTCACTGTGTTAGTTGCATTGCTAGAGTCTGTGTACAGCGAGTACAATGGCTGTTTTCATTCACGGTACTTCTGCAATTGACGAGTCACTAACGTGAAATCGAACGTACCGCGGCCAGAACGCAATCCGCACTACTTTTCGCCACGCTTGCTTCAAAGACTTGGGTGACGAAGCCATTGAGCAAACTCCTAGCGGTAACCTTCCCGACACAACTTAGCAAGTTGTTGCGACAATAAATGCTGACACGTTGCTTACTTCCTTTGCTGTTGTATAGTGATAAAACAAGGGCATCCTTTAGTCCTCCAAACTCGTTCCACCAAGTAATGCAGCAGATGTAGTATCATGGGTCCACCGTACTTCTTTACTTAGTGCCGTATTTCATCAGCACCTGCACACTTACAATTTCACACGTTTTGATTCTTTTCGTTTCAGGAATTATGTCACAGATTGTTGGAATCTGCAGCTACAATCGCTGCCTCTGCTTTAAAACAACCAACCTGGTTCAGACGGACGCTGCAGGTTCAGCGGAACGACAATACATCGGATGAGGGCGCCCGCACTATACCTACTTTTGCGTCGTCCTCTACTTTTGCTCAACCTCGATGCGAAGATGACCAGGCGGACGCAACTTTCACACCGCCCTTGGGCCGTTCAACTTGTCCTCGTTCGCACAGTGCAGTCGTACTGAACTCAGAGATCACTACTGCCCGGCTCTCTCCACCACGTCCTTTGGCTGAAACTAACTGTGAAGGTGGCGTACGCCTTTTCTCGTTGTCTTCCACTTCAGCTCATTTAATCAATTTTGATACAAGCGTTACTATCCAACAACGCATTAACGACAGCTAGATAAGTAAATTGTAACACACTTTTCGAGGTGCTCAGTTTCTAACTGCTGATTTCCCATTGTTGTATTATAGACGGATGGGAAAGTGTTCGTCATTTGGGGGATTTTTGATGCAATTTTTTAAGCGTTTATCGAAATAGCTTCTAATCCAGACAAGCCACCACGCACTAGACGGCCGTTTCGTCCTATTGATGTGACAATGGTGAATTACGAGTACAAATCAATGCTTCACAAGTCCCGTTGGTGAGAAAGTTTGAGATTAGAAAACAGCATGATAACACTAAAAGCGTTTTGATAAACTCACCATAGTGTTAGCATTAGGACATGCGTTAAAGAGTCGCGATTGTCACAGGCTAACGAGCGTACATCAATTGGTTGGAATTTTGCAAATACAGTGTTTGGTTACGTTTTGGAACCTCATGGCTATTACAAGTTATAAAATGCATGACAGTGCTTCGTCAGCTCGTTTTTTATTATCATTAGGTTGGGATCAGAGACAAGTTGGGAGAGCATTGCGCGGCTCACACACCCAAAGGGAAATATCTTGACGGCATTCCAGCCGGGTATACTGTAGTGCTAACTTTAACTGATAATCTCTCAGGTTGGTTCAGTTCCCACAGCGGGCGGCAGATGTTGTTTGATTCTTCTGAATCAGATAATGCATTGTGAGGTCTCACTGCAAGCGCCGATGTCATTTCTGTACATTCCTAGAGACTTTAATCTAAGTTGATAGGATAGTTGGAAGAGACCCGTAACGTCCTTGGATGCCTTTCGTTGCGGAATCTTGAAAGCAGCAAGTTCTTGCTTCAGCCACGGCTACCACGCCTGGATGACATATTCCACATGCGGTTGCGCATGGGCCTTAAGAATTCGTGGGAAGATTGTATGATTGAACTGACCGAACGCTTTGTGGAGAAAGCCAAAGTGTTGATTACCGGTTCTTGATGCATTCTCTGATTGTTTCGAGCAGCCGGGATTGTTCTGAGCCAAAATCCTAGGCTCACGCTCATGACAAATCTCCTGCAATGGATGCTCTCCAAGCTTGTGCTCAATTCAATCATATTGCACTTAGTTGTGTTAAACTGGAGTAGGTTCCCCCTTGACTACTCATGAACGCAACTCGGGTCACGTTGTAGGAAATCGTGATCTTCATTACTATTAATCACTCGCCATGTCTTAACATCATCAGCGAATAGAAGAAAACTAGAGGCGATAACTCTTGCCAGCCGGTTGATAAACACAAGAAATAAGCGCGGTCTTTGTACTGAATCATGTGGAACTTGACACTCCACCTCACTCGAGTTGGAAAGCGACCTCCCAACACGCACTTGTAGCCTCCGTTGGTGGATGAAGTTGGCAATCCACCCAAGAACAGGATCTCCTGTTCTGTAGCTCTGTAAACTGAAGTATGACGCGGCCTTATAAAGTTCAGGTCGATGACATCGATTCCGGCTCCACCATTGGCCACTTTGGTCCAACTACCTCGTATCATCAGCAGATTAGTAATGCATGCCTGGTATTGGCGGATGACATGCTGCTCCAGGACCAAGACATTGCATTTTTCCAGATATTCCACTAAAGCCTCAGCAACGACCACTTCCCTCACCATCGAGAGCACAGTAAGATGGGTCACCGGGCGATAGCTTGCAAGATCTGAACACTTGCCGTCTTTAAAATCGGAGTGATGATGTCATGCTTCCTCATAGGGGGACTTATCGTTTATCGGAGCATCTTTGAAACAGCTGCAACAACAGCTTGGTTACCTTATTGGCCGTTGCCTTCATTGCCTTCGGGCGGATGTTGTCGACTCCTGGGAAGTTAGGATCACGCAATGCGAACCACTTAGCACAGTTGTTGAGTTGGAGACTATTTGTGTGAACTCTGGAGTCTTTAAAATGAATGGCGGTATGTTACAGGGACAGGCTGCGAGTTCGAAAATCTTAGGATTGTAGCAGCAGTTCATTGGATGCTACGTCGACGCTTTGTGCCTGTCATCGATTGTGTTAGTGGAGAATACCATGCTTTGCTTTACGAAGGTTGTTGACATGTCTGTATGGTAGTTTGTTGTTTGCCATAAATGTTTTAGCTAGGCAGTGTTCACAGATAACTTTCTCCTCGTGAGCAAGTGTGGTACAATGATCGTAGTGGTCCAGGAAGTTCTCCTATGTCTCTGAGTAAGAGTTAGCCTTGTAGTCATGCCATGCTGCATCCTTTATTGCCATACATTTTCGAGTCCTGTTTCTGAGAATTGACGCCACTTTTACCGAACCAACTGATTTGTTTTCCGATGCTCTGTTGACCATGTTACTGAGTCTTCCAGGGAACTCTGTCCAAACGCTGTCAAGGGGGCTGTTGTTCGAGAACTCTCAAGTGGACACCTCCATGAGTTACCCCAGGACGTAGTAGCGTGTAGTTGTGTGATTTAATTTTGTCTGTTCTCATGGATAGTCTGCATAGCAAACCTAGCTACATGTTATGATTACATCGTCTCTGAGACATAAATGACTCTACATCAACATCTATTCGGCCACGAACTATTCATTTGTGAGCACAAGGTCTTGTACGGACGGTTTGTTTCCTACCCGGAATCTCGTGGGAAAGATGACATGAATTCACGCAACTCTGCCTTGAACTGTTTGTTGGGCGATGCCGATACCTTCAGATTATGTACATTGAAATCCCTTGGGATTGGGATATGGCTGTGCTAGGGCTTGTTACCCTGCTCAGGGCAAGTATCAAACAGTAATCCATTTCCTTGGTGGGTGCTGGTGGGCGATAAACGACATCTACTAGACATGCATCGTTGCATTTTAAGCGGAAACGGTACCACAGTATGTCAGTGACGTGAGTTTCCGGATCCAACTATTGCACATTACAGATCGCCGTGGCAGTACAGGAAAGCCCCACTTGGCCTGCTGGGACGGTCGTTGCAGACGAGTGACATTCGACCTCAGCATCAACAGCTTTTTCTGTAACCAGGTTTTAAGGATGGAAATGTAGTCCCAAGCATTCGCGACCTGGCGTAGTTGAAGTTCGGCAGCTTTGCTTAGGAGTCCTTTGGCCGCAGTGTATCTACATGTCTCTTGGATTTCAGCAATGCTTCGGGGATTGTGCAATTCAGACGTGTTTCGCCCACCAGTGGAGTGGCCCACCGCTAATCCTCTTTTTCTGGCTAATTGGCGACTGGTTCGATGTTAGATTCATCGGCTTCGTAGGTAATCTCAAATATAACCCTATACGTACAGCGTAAGAAGTCCGGTCACGCACTTCAGTACCAGTTGATATAGGCTCGTCAGACACACTTCTCGTCTAGTGTTCTTGTATAACCCCCACCACATTTATTTATTTGGGAGATATGCCATCTCCAGATTTTCAGTAGCCGTTCTGCCACATTTTGACTGAAGGATTACCTTCATTACTCTTGGGTCACAATCTTTGTAGTTTCGGTGATCAGCGTAGCCGCGATACCGATTTCGACAGCACGTCATTCAAGCAGTGTTTAACGAATGTAATGCTATTGTTCCTTGCCATGAGTTATCGTTTCTTACTCATCGCGCACTTCAGTTTCAGGACGACTTGGACAAGGATGGTTCTGACTAATAGCCGCGTGATCTGCACGCTTAGCTTGCAATCATAAAACCACAAGGTTCTATTCCGCGTAGGGACGGGTGTCCTGGCGGTATACTCAGCTCACGCGCGACTGGTGGTAGTCGCGCGGCAGCGAAGCGCCGTTACGACTTACAGCGGACGATTCATTTTTCATTTTCTAAGATGTCGTTACTTCGATAAGGCTCATCTCATTTGCATATCCGGAAAGGCATGTTTCGAGCAATGTTCAATGTTCTTAGTCTACCTATTGACAACTAGGGGTGTGTCACACAGTATGAAACTTTTTTGTTTCACTCTCTAGATGTTGTCTGGTCCTTCTTGGTACAAATCATCAAATAATCTCTCCCAAACCAACAGTGTTTTAATCATGCACCTGGGTACACTCAGCGTAAACTCCTTATTGCGTAGCTCGCTTGTCGAACTACGTTATAGTTCTAGGGAGGGCAAATAGCAGCGGGCGTTTTGATGAATCATATTGCACAGAAGCATCAGGTTGTCTTAATCTTCGTAGCCAGAGCGGATCGAGCTGGAATTGTTGGAAGCGCTCCCGATAGTTCTTAGTGGATGTTTTGCCTAGCATACGCTTGGTATATGACTTTTGTATACCTTGCAGAGATACACTGTCAGATTTCCTCATGCTGCCACAAATCATACTGCAATATTCCAAAGTAGAGCGAGTGTAGATTTTGAAGAGTTTTACTCTAGCTTGGGTTATGTGGATCTAATGTAATATATTAGCTCTTGATTTTCTGGCCCTAGCCAACTGGTACTCCACTTGTTCAGAAAAGTTGTAGGTGCAAGAATACCTGATTCTGAGGTCGCGGGTAGACAGCTGTACACAAAGGTGTTTGCCGTTGAGTGTAATTGATCCCTCGGGTAGCAAACAGCCGCGATACACGATGCTAGATTTTTTCGCCGAAAACTTCGTCATCCAGGTATCGCACCATTTCTCAAGGGAGTGAATCTCTCCCTGTATGAGAAGTAGTGTTCTTGAAGTTCATCTCCTCGAAATTTCTAGACTATATTTATGTCATCTGCAAACAGGAAAGGCATACTATGACTGATAACTGCAGTGAAGTCATTGACGTAGAACAAAAACACTAGCGGACCAAGCACACTTCCTTGAATAACATCACTAGTGATTGGACGTGATGAAGAGTGTTTGTCGGCTATGGCCGCTCAGGGATGACAATAGCCAGTCTAGGAGTTGGTCCGGAACTCCAAAGGGAGCAATCTTTTTCAGCAGCCGTTTGTGAGGCATTCGATCGAATACCTTTTCCATGTCCAGGAACAGTAGTTTGATTGAATCCGAAACATAGTTTAGATAATCTAATTGGCAGGTTATGCACGATCGTTTGTCCAGGAAACCATGCTGTGCCCTATCTATTAGCTCCGGCGAATTGATAAATTTCATCACACCATTATTACCCAGTTTCTCTAATGTTCTGGCTACTGCATGAATGTGATAGATTGGCCGGTAATTATTAATTTCTTGTTTGGAGCCACCTTGTGACAGGGGATGTTGAACGATCTTCCCTACTGGTCAGGAAAGTAGTTTCATCCCAACAAATGGGTAAACTTGTTCAGAACTAGTAACGGCATGTCAGGCGCTCCCAGTTTTATGACGGCAGGTGGGATACCATCGGAATCCAGATGGGAAGACGGTATACTAGAATTTATTACATGTTGGATAGCAATGATAGAAAATTCCATGTTAACCAGGGCTTTGGTTGTTTGCACCCGATGCATGTATTTAACGGAGTCGTCTCCAGGCTCATGTAGGTAACGGAAAATGAGCTAAACGCTTCGCCGATGTCGGCTGGATCATAAAGAGGTGGTCCGTCTGCATTAACCAGTCCATCCATCAAGGGGAGTGGTTATTACTTCTGCGACGCAGAATGTTAACAAGTTCTTTCGTTGTACAAGTCATCCGTAGAGCCATTTGTTCTTCGTGTATTCTCTTCCTCAAATATATGTGCTTGACCCTGTCAATGATGTTATGAAACTATAGGAGCAAGGTGAAATTTCCCCACTTTCCGTATCCAGCAATTAGTCTTCCCTGCTGCCGGCTGATTGAACGCACGATTGCGTCTTTTTGGACACGTGTGATCCCCTCGTCTTAGGGAGTAAGAACAGCAATGGTCTGATGGACCCGATGGAGGAAATAGTCCACGGCATTGTACACATTGCTAGAGAGAAAGAATGCGTCCCAATCGGATAAATTGTTGGAATTACTTCCAGTTTATCCTATGGGTTACATATTGCGGAATAAAGGCGTGTTTGATGGCCAATTTAACGCAGAAAGCGAATCGTACCAACTGGTGTGGTCACTGTCAAATTGTTTGTCTAATACCTCTATGCATTTGTGACCTTCAAAGTGAATATCAGGTCGAGTATACTGGTCGCTCTTGCTGGCTCAGCAACCCACTATATCCAGCCACCTGAGAGAGGAAAGGTAGGCTGTATGTATAGACGAGGATGATTGAAAGGGCCAGTTACTCTTTAAGGGCACGGTTCACGTCCCTGTGGTGTGACTGTGAGAGGTCCTCTCTAGGCGTTCGTGTGGTGTGCTGTTCGAATGCATCATTGTGCCCGTGAATCATATCACGCGACATTTTGATAGAATGAGTCTCGTTACCGTGTCGGTGGATTGCCCCCGAGTGGACTTGCCTTGCGACTGAGTGAGCTTTTCTGTTGGGAGACGAAAGTTACCTTGTAGTTGCTCCAACCAATGTTGGACTTGGGTGAGTCGGAGCTTCTTAGAACGCCGTTGGAATGCGCTGTCTAGTGAGAAAAATTGAGTTCAACATTTAGAGAAATGCAACATTGTGTGCTTGGGTCCCAACTAAATACTTTCCACAAATTACAATACTGTATAAATGTGGGGTGTACTAAAATGGTCTCGAGAGATGGTAATCCTCAATTCAAGACGAATAACGGTAAACCAGGTGATGTGCGATGAACCTCGACTTAATAGATCCGGAGAGAAAGAGGACTACAAAAGTGTCAGTGGTGCGCATCCCTCATATTGTGGGAAGAGGTTACTACAGTAGCAACCCTCTGCGACGTTCATGACATACATGGCAGTGGAGGATGAGTCGCGTCATATTTCATTTAACACGTATGTCTTTATGGTCCACTGCCGTCTCCCATGACCTTGTCCATACGTTGCTGGTTAGTCGCGCAAGCCACTAGGGTCCAGCACTTATATGTTCGGTTCGTATTGGATCCAAGGGTGGGCACCACCAACTAGTCCCAATATGACATTACAACCGTCCGATACGCCACTTCGCATTTGTGGCTTTTATAGGGAAATGGCTTATCAGGTGAAAACCGATTACTTCCTGAGACACTGCTGCCAAACCATTTGGTGAAACGGGGTAACACCCCGCACCATCCAGTTGGTGGCACAGAGAGGTAGTTTGGCAAGGCAGCCAGAGGCAGCGTATTTGTTTACAATTTGACATATGGAATGGGTTTAATTTACATTTCCTTTACACTTATGGTCGAGTGAAACTGGCATCTAACTGGTGTGAAGGGCGGACATCGAGGTGCGTTCTGCTTTTATTTGTCAGCTTCTGTTTAACTATTAGAGCCTCGATGTAAGCAAAGGCGAGTAAGTACAACTGACTGGACAGTGTAGTGTGAAAGAGTAGACTTGGCTTGTCTTTTCTTATCAACATCCATGTGGAAATGTAGCTTCTAAGTAAATATATCTAGGTAAGAATAATATCTAACAGGCACACGATTGCTGGAAATGAGAAGTCGATTTCCCTCTCCGTGTGAGCCTTCATGTCGACTTGCAATTCTCGATGATGGTATTGCCGAACAAATACAATGCTAAATTGAATAGGTCTAATCTGGCCATCTGTTTCCGTTATTTGTTATGCCGCTCTTTAATTTTTATACCCTAACTTTACCTGGTGTTGCTGTTGATTTTATTCAAAAAAACGGCTGTTGGTTATCACTGAAACGATTATCTACTCACTGGTTTTTTCAGGTAGCCCTTTGTCTCTGAGTTGCGCTTAACGTTGTTATGTATCTGTCGATTTGCACATGGAATATGTGCGGAGATGTGAAGGATCTAATAGGCAGTGGAAACCGATTCCAAATCGGTACATGTTTACCGTGGAAAAAGCTTGTCCGCAGATTTATACGCGCTGGGGAATTATTTGTTACAGATCTAAGAGCGCTATGCTGCGGCTAAAGGAGATATGAATAGCTAATGACTCAATGGGTATATTTCCCGACGAGCAGGGTATGTTTTTCCTTTTATGGTCAGTCATGTGTACAGCGACTTTTACATCAGCATTCCATTCACGAACTCTCTTTTACTATGGATCAGTGATGCACTGTTTTTGTGGAATAGTTAGCAAGTAATCTAATTAAAACCTTCACTTGTTATTTGTTTTTTGGGCCGGATTCCATGAACACGCTCATAAGTCGAAAAGTTTGACTTATTTGACATAGAATGAAAGTTCTACCTATGATCTAAATGTAGATAGGGTTTCGCTGGTCCTTAATTGCATCGGTAGCTTATTTTACAGATGTGCGTACCTCACCATGAAGAAATTTAAACGAATATTTTGCTTGCTTTTCTGTAATGATAATAGACTTTTCCCCTTATGAGTCGGGTAGATTGAGCCATTTTGTGAAGTCGCAGGCGCCCTGTTTGTCGCGACTCGCGAGTACTGTAGGGCGAAATTGCTTGTTAGTCGTCAGTCAGAGTGGGTCAAACTGCTGGAGGTGAGGATATTATTTCTCCTAGATAAGCGCTCCATAATTATATTGGTAAATGAGCGCTGCACGTTTTCAAAAGCAATTCTATCTGTCCTACGTTGTTGCCTATGTATTACGGTGTAGCACCATGGTGTGTGTGGCACTATGAATTAGTATGATTCAAGCTGCGTTTGGGATAGTGAAAATGACCTTGTGATGTAGGATGTGTTCGAAGAAGTTGAAGCTGCTAGAGTATCGATTTCCCAAGTTCCGAACAGAATACGCAGTTGGGATGGAGATACTAGTAAGAGTGATGGATCCTTCTGGTATACTGCATCTGTGGCAGAGTAGCTGAGATTTGTCTGCTGAAAACCTCATAGACATTATTTCGCTCCATCTGCTTAAGGGTGGTAGATCTAAGCGTTTATTTTTTATCCGCAGTTCTAGCTGGTCACGTAGAAATGAGTACACTAGTTTGACATCGTCCGCAAATAAAAATGGACACCCTTTTCTAATGAAATCACATATATCGAGGCGAATGTCTGCGTCCATAAATCGGAACGAAGAAGAGTTATATATTTGGTTCCAGCTCGAAGGGGAAACCCCTAGCGGGAATAAAAGGTGGGACCTGCAGCCGCTACTTTGTCCGGTGCCATGGTCAATTTTAAAAGTACCTTTTTGGATTCACGTCGTCACGACTTTTTGCATTTGCATCTTTGAACTCATGCTCTCAATTGCGATAGCTGATTTTGATGCACACCTGCTGACTTCTCACCATCTTTCTTTTACTCGGGAACTTCAGCTATGGACTCTTGCGGCTTGAGTCGCACGATACTGCAGAACGATATGGCTGTACAGGCCATCAATTTGTTGACTGAGGTAAGTCCTTTTCGCTTTTCAACCTAAGCCAAAATGTGTGCTCATGTAGCATTTAATGCACCATACATTACTTTCACACCTCAATGGATCACGTTCTGACTTCGGATCCCAGCCTAGTTCCAGTGATCACCCATCATCCTGACCACAATCGGTGATATACCTCTCAAACTTGCCAATCCCATAAAGGATTTTTAACTAGACTTGACGAAATCCTCATGTAGAAACGGAATTTCTCCAAAACAACACGGGATTAGTTTCGATGTTGGATTTTGGAGCAAACGTCTTATGTTCGGTTCGCGACAGGGTCTCTATGGAGACCTCGGTTCGCTCTTGTGCATACTGCGCCCATCCTGATCACTTGGACGGTATCTGTAGTGGAGAGGTTTCGACGCTCTATCTGAAAACTGTACTGTACAACCGGTTCCGTCATTGTTTAGACTTATCAGGTAGGAGTCGCTGCAGCTGGGCGTAGAACCCGGCTTGCATATCTTGGTAGCGATTTCGCGTGCTGCAATCCAAATGCATGGTGTGTTCTATAGAACGCAACACCGAACTCTTAAATACTGTGTCAAGCTTTGTTCGCGGATCTTTGTGGCCTAATGATCAAGGCGTACACCATCAGCCACTGCTTCCCGGATTACATTCCCTGAAGGATTCAATTAATGGCAGGACCGGTTATGGAGTGCAGCAGCACCGAAAACTCTCAACGGGAATAATCTCATTGTTATGCGTGTTAAGCTTTAGTCAGTGTTACTCGCTGTATCATCGGATCGCGACACTATATCACGTTTTCGACCTAGATTCACCTTCAATAATACGCCATCCTCCTGTTTCTTTTGACTATCCTCCTTCATGGGAAGATATTTTTATGATCCCCGCTCATAACGCTGAATCATCTCATCTCTGTGGCTTATGTGTGAACGCTTGTGTTAGAAATACTTCCAATCTTCGAAGTACTTCGTGACTACCATTTGGTGATTGACCCAACAGGCTGTGCGTACTGTGTTGGTGAATTCAATTTTTCCTTCCTATTCAACGTATTGAATCCAAGCTGACTGGTTACTACGTACAACGACACCCGTCTCTATACAATCAAACCATTAGTCGTATTCCTCATCGAAAAGCATAGATCAGTCAATCATTTATACCTCCAATTTTTAAGCGCAACCAACATGTTTTCAATTCCGAACGGTATTTGCTTACTCGAGCTAAATGCATAAATCATAGTTGGCATTCCAGTTGCTACAGTGGTAATATGCACACGTCCTCGTTGGACATTGCGTTGTAATCCAACTGGGTGCTTTGACGATGATAACGCTTACCTCATCCACTACTCCCATCGCGTGTCCTCTTTCACTTACTGCGTTTTGCTGCCTAGTTGTTATGCGCTCACCTCCTCTGCCTCTTGATTTTTTTTCTCTGATAGCATATGGTCAACTTTTTGGATGTGATCTATCGAAGTGACGAAAAGGATCGCATTCCTACATTCTTGACCAACATTTTAGTCAATATATTTCCCTACCTCCGCGTCCGAATGTAAGTCGTTATCTTTTTTAACTATCTTCTCATCTGATCAGGTTGCTTCTTTTACTCATTGAGTCACTACTACTTCTTTTCATCTTCGTTAGACTTTAACTGATCTCGCCGATTATGACCGACGTGACCCATGGCAGTTCTACTCTATGCCCCGTACTTCCGATATTCAGGCAATAATACGAACTCACAGATGCATATACAAAGCAATTGTAGCGACGGTGCAGCCCAAGTGCCACTCTCACCGAATTGTTGGCTCCGATTGCTAAATGAAATCGGAACTAATGTACGCTTGCTGCGCTAACACTTAACCATTTAACTTACCGTCGGCTCTTCGATGTTACTTGTGAATGGAGGGATTTGCTAGGACTTATTTAGTTCGTCCCAATTAGATTACAAGTTAGATGGACCAACTATCAATAGAGAAAGGCACTGGACAATTGTTTCGCCCTATCGGAACTCGTCAGTAGTGCGCATTCCCTCTGTCCCCTTAAGATAACTGAACCCAAGACCGCTAGTGGCTTGCACCACTAGCCAGCAACTTGTGCAATTTGGACACGAAAGATGACATGTGACCATCCTTGATTGAAATCAAATTGTGAAATGGCCCTACCCATGATGGTCGCTTATCGTCCCTCATGGCTCAGTGGTATTAGCTACTGGTTAATGGCGTAAGCCAATTGTGGCCATGGGTTCGGTTCCCCGAAAGGGATCGAGGGAATGCGCAATACTAACGAGCCCAGCTAGGGCGATTGGTAAACTTTTCTGGCTTGTTCTCTGATTAGAGTGGACTAAATCTTCGAGTTTAACTTTTCGTGACCAAATGGTGATTTGTCAGAACAGCTCAGCCTAAGCACACAGGATCGCTGGGCTGCGACACCAAGTGCATGGTCTCGACTGCGGATTAATCGGCATATCTGGCTTGCTTGTTCGACTTTTTACTCAGGATGCAATAGTCCTTCTTCGTACACCTCGTTAACGGCATTCTTTATGTGGTCACACCATCAGAGGCGATGTAGTGCCATTTGTTCTCAGCGCTTAAGTTTAACATCAGTTCTTCATCTACTCACCATGGTCATGTCCTGAGAGCACAACTGTGATTCACCCTTATTCCTTTTACCCGCACTCAACTGGCCATGTATCCGATGTCTCGGTATTCTGGTCATATCCGAGCGCAGTCGACTGAGCCATCTCGGGTATCACAGTAACAGCATGCCGTTAATTCCGCTCCAACTGATCACTTCGGTTTCAGATACTCAGTCACATCAAAAGATGCATAAAATTCAATACAAACATTGTTGGTGTAATCGCTCCAACTCTCCGATACCCTTCTTCTATAAGGTCCGATTTCCACTGTCATAGGGAAGGACTGAAGGTATTCTTGTGCTGTACACCATCAACTTGATTCCAAGAGTCAGACCTTGATTCTTCCGCACTCGATCTTCCAATTTACCAAATTTAACGCGCGTCTTATGTGTACATTTGCGCAGCTTACAGGCCATCTGTAGACTATTGACAGCTTGTTGCCGATATAGTGTAATACTGGTGGGTTCCGTACAACTTCATCATCATTCTTGATTTGCGACTGCTACATGAACCCCATTCCCAGTGGCGGTTAAAAGAGACCTAAATCCCACTTTGAGGAATGACTGGCCTGAACTCGGCTGCAGTCGAAGCGAGAGCATTCGCTCTATGTTATGACTCATTTTTGCTATGTACAAACAACGCGCAGTCGTCTGCAAACAACTGCGCCCGGCTAGTTGTTTCACGCACTCGGGTACTCGCCTCGATACGATGGATGTTCCGTTACCTACCATTGATGCAGTGTATGAGACGGGCTCCCTATTCACATACCTTACATACACGGGATCTCATAACAGTTATATAGATATTAAACAAACTTGGTGCTGAGGCACAGTCATGCTTCGCATCAAAGGCCTCCTCAATATCTTCCAAGGTTTGAGAGCGTTCATTTGTTCTTCGTAGACCTGGCAACATCATCAGTGCGGGTTTCTTCGTCACTTCTAGACCCAACTGCTTGTTTATCGACTGCTTCTTCTAATGTCAGGACCCGATGAACTCACGCAGGCCGATCGAGTAATCATATTTCTTCCGTTTGTTTCCATCTCCCTCATCAACGGATGCAAATTGCTATTTTGAACTGCAGCACTTCGTAAGCAATCCCTATCTTCAAGTGTCCATTGATTGAGTCCTGCCCCGAGTACCAGACTTCGATGAACTTGCGCGCCTTCCCGCTTCTTGCTCTTCCTATCCTAACATTCTTCAGATCGAATAGATTCTTGTCTGCATCCATGTGCACCGACATCAGTGAGCCTTGGTCACGTCGGTGGTGGCCAGGCTATGCTCGTAGCCTCGTCCCATGCTTCCTACGTCTCTGCTCCACATAATATTGCATTCGTGCTGCATGCGCGCGTGCGTGCATGCATGCATGCGAGTATTAGAATGCAGGCTTCACTCACGAGACCAGCTCCAAAATTGGCGAGCGGAGACAACAAGACCAGAGCAAACCCACCTCAGCCATCCGATAGACAGAAGCCCGATTGTGTTTTGTGGTCGTAGGCATCCAAATCGAGAGGAGAGCTGTCCATCTTGGGGCAGGACCTGCATGAAGTGTACAGAAAACAATTTTGCTCGCTGCTGCAGATCCTTCAACGTCAGAGCGGTAGACAATGAAAGTCAACACGACACTCAGGGGGTCTCGACAAACAACATGGAGTGCCTTGGAGTGCAGAAGTGCGTTTTTGCGACGCTGTTGATTCAAGGACGTCCAGGTCGTTTTCATCTTGGTTCAGGAGCAACCGTTAATGTACTACCCAAGTGACATTGTGTCCGAGTAGAATGCGGTGCAATACGGAGTTGTCTCAAAATGTGGAACGGCTCGAGACTACAGCTGAAAAGGAACACTATCATGAAGACTGTCAACCCGGAGAACAAACGGAACACCAGCTTGACTTACTGGTTGTCAGCAGACCCTATGCTCATTTTTGGCATTTCATTGCTCGTACTTAAGAATCGACAACTATGTGGCAAGATAACACGAACTCATGTTCTGGACAGGAACGACTAGTCAAATAAGCCGTTGCATATCGAACTACTTAGCTGCCGTAACCGGGAAGTCCTGACGCCGGAAGGCCGACCGCTGTCATCTGCATGGCAGGTGCCTGCATGGCAGTGGAGGATGCGTCGGGCTATATCGCATTTAGCTAACAATTCACGATAGTCAGATACCGTCCTCCATGACGCAGTTGCATAAGCTGCGGGCTAATTGGCAAGAGCCACTAGCAGTCATGGGTTCGATCCTCCGCAGAGGACCGAAGGATGCGCACCACTGATGAGCCCCAATAGGGCGAAACGGCCGTCTGGTGCCTTTCCGGACAGCTTGTCGACATATCTGAATTGTCGGCTGATTGCGACGAACAAAAATGCTTAGCCCGCAAAACACATGACGTGTGCCAGCCGAAAGAACCGATGATGCTCCACGAAGTCGCAGAGAGACCATGGCAGAAAGTCGCTTCGAATATCTTTACTCACGAGGGAAAGAATTATCTGATTGTGATGAATTACTTCAGTGACTGCTTTGAAATTG